TATTAGCACATCCTTTGTTAACAATTATTATAATACAAAGATAAATAAGCAATTGGACCTTGCTGTTGTATAACACATGACAACCTATTGTGTAACATCTAAAATCTTACGTATCTAGTTTTTGTTTGAAGCAGAGACTGAAAATCAAAGTATAAGTTAATTATTTATAAGTTTAGTAGCTGTCGCCCGCGACTCCGTTTGCGCGGAATTAAAAAAAATCTTAACTCTCCCAGGCTATGTACTCTACGCCAAATTTCAGCGGAATCTGTTCAGTCGTTCTGGAGATACTTTTAAACATACATTCATTCAAACATTTGTATTTATAATATTAATAAGAAGTAACATGGATAGCTATCTTACTTTATCTTAGAAAAATACTAATAAAGTTGTAATATTTAAATTAAAAAAGGCAATTTATACGACATTGGCCGCACAATTCAGTCGTCCTTTAAAGTATTCGGCATGGTTACTCACGCGATACACAGTCGTACCTTTTTTGTTGATGAATTTACATCACAATACAATGAATGGATTTGAATTAACATAACAGATCGCCTTTTTAGGTCGCTATATAATAAACTGAGGACAGACAGAATGACATACAAAAACGTGAAACTTATTTTTTATCCAGTTCAATCTTGGATTGCTATTCTCGATGTCCGTGATAATCCCGACCACTGCAATTTATCGTTAAAGTATTTGTCTTCGGAGTATTGATGAAAAGGGAAATACACAGTTTTATATTACTCTATATTACCAGACCATATACTCTTTGTTACCAGACCGTAATAATGAAATCAATGCAATTTTTAATTAAATCTTTGACTCCTAAGTAATTAATCATATCTCATAATATTTTTGTCCATACCAGTGTTTTACACATAGATGTTTTGGTTGCTTTACATAAATTGAACTAAATAATGTTAAAAAAAAGTTTTGTGCCGCAATATTTGCGTTACAAACACCATTATTCACGGAGTACCTAATAAAATATGAAATTATATGCTAGAATTATTTAGTACTTAGTACTGAGATGTCATCCTGGATATCGTCTTTCAACTGTTTCCTACAAATTACACAAGTAATCATTTACAGTGATGCAATGAACGGAACGTCGCAACATCGGAAAAACGAAAAGTATCAATTAGTAAAATATACGTTATACCTATATCATTACAATACCCGCATGGGTTACAAAATATAATGCATCGTTGTAGAAAGACTATAACATTTTCACTCTCGTTCGTCGCTTGGTCTATTGTAAATTGTCCGTAAAACCATAATAAACTTCAAGGTCGTAGTTCAGTAGTGGGGGCACAGCTGATGCATTTTGCACCTTCAGTTGTCATCATTTGAAGACACGACTGTGTTCTCTTTATTGTATATAAAATGTGTTAAATTAATTTTAAAAATGGAACAACGTAGATTTGTAATGCCTTTTACGGAATGTGTTTGATCAGGTGTAATGTGTATCACAAAACACATTTAGTTTAGTTAACGTTTTAAAAGACGCGCGACAGTATCCATGGAATCCTTAGTGTTTTTAAATAAAAACATTATTAAACTCTATTTTTACAATAATTCTTGATGTGTAATATAAATGGTGATAAAATTTTAGTTTCATATAGTTATCTGTTTTCTTAATGTGTTTAAAACGATTATAATATGAAGAATTTTTGTGTAATTTTTACAATTTTATATACAGTTGGATTAAAAAGTGAGTCATTTTAGTATTATTTACTTATAATTTTAGTCAACTATATTTTTAGACATTTCTTATTTCATGTAACATTCGCGTATACTCTATTATGTAATTAAATGCACTTAGTTTATTTTATTAGTTTAACACGTTTGTCCCATGTTCGCAATTTAAAAGTAGTAACATTGTGTAAAAAAAAACCACAAACAAAATTAAAATGATTAAAATATTCTAAAACCATAGATATAATGTGTCAAGTCATTGTTAATCATATTTAATATCGGGGCCGCGGTTGCTTACTCCTGTACTTGAGAAAATTGATACCTTAAGCCGCAGACATAGTTAGTCTAGTCAATCATAATATAACACCGACTTACTTAATTTACAAAGGCACGATTTTAATGTTAAAGTGAAACAAAAAAGTAAGTTATTTTTGTATTATATCATAGCGATTGCGGTTTGTAACCACTGCTTTTAAACCTTGGATCTACCATATAATATATGATAGTAAGAGATACAGTCAAATGGATTATGTGCTTACTTTATCAATTATGATGACCTAATCCACCTTAATGTAAACTAGGAAGTAAATAAAATGAACACTGTGAATTGCACTAACTGTACTAAGCAATCAGTTCGCCCGCATTTGCGTCCATGCTGTGTTAATGCTTCGTACATAAATCTCCTTAATATATGTTTCACTTACGTAACGTTAGTTTATTGTTGAGAACTTTGAAACCATATCAGATAAGATCAATTTCAATAAATAAAATTATAACATCTATATTGTTTGAAATGAAATAAAACAGACTGTGTATGGGTTTAATAAAATTATTTTAATTAATTGATTTAATTGATTTGGACTATATTATTAAAGACACAAAAATTATAATTCATATAAAGAGTAATTAAAAATCAAGAATCATCACTAGTTGTATTTTTCCGGCAATAACTTCCGAAACCGATTTTAACTCTGATTGTACTTGTTGGACATCGCACGTACTCTGAACCTGGTAACACTCCCGCCTGCACTAGCATTAGTGAATATACTAGTAGTACTAAAAATACTAGACCATAAACACGAATGTTGCCAATCTGAAAAGAGTACATTATTGGAATAATAATGCAAATAAACAAAATTTACTTTTACATTTAACAAATTTTCCTTTTATAGATTTTGATTTGCACTTACGTTTATCGACTCAATTAGTAATCGAATGCAGGATTCGAACCAGCAAACCGCTCAAAGCAAAGTTTTAAATTGCATTATACTACGATCAAAAGTTTGTAAACATTTGGCGTTGTCGACCTGACCTTTTACATTAAAACTTGAGGAAACCAAAATAAATCTCACTTTGCATTTTCATATTAACTATTCGTATTATATTAATAAGAGCAGATTCTTTTACTCACCATCTTATTGTCTTTTACTAAACTGTTATAATTATAATATTTAAAAACAGACCACCTTTAAGTTGTAAAGACTTATCAAAACTGAATGTCAGATGTAAACGCATCCGACGTAAACAAGTGTACAAAACCAGTTTCTGTACGTGACGAGTTGCTTGATTAATTTATAATATCCTCAAAACTTGACCCCAATCTTTGCCAAACCTTGTTAATTTAAGGCGCTAATAGCCTATATTAATGATCTAGCTGTCGTGGGTTCGATTTTTTAAGCTTTTCTTTTTAGCAGGGCGCTTACCACATAAACAGATTTAAAGTAAAAAAGTAGCTTATGTCCTTGGGCTCTAGACTATCGGTGTGCCAAATTTCGTTTAAATTGGTTCAATCGTTTTGGCGTTTATGATATTAGTATGATACTAAGGATAAGTAAGAATTTGATGGCTACATCAAACTCCTAAAACGGCATATAATCAAATTTTTCGTAGCAGTAACAATTGTTATATTAATTAGGAACAAGATTACATATAGGATTGTAGCTTTTTTGCTTACGAAAATTATTTAATATAATAATAATTTAATATAATATATATAATTAAGACCTTATTTCTAAGGTAGCAGTTCACAATGCATGAATGGCCAGAAGTTATCATTCATTCGCTGGTCTGGAGTAACTCCGGAGAGGTCTGCGCCTGTATTCGTGTACTCAGCAAGCGACGAGGAACAGTCATTGGTCGGGGTCTGTCTCTCCCGATGTAAAGAGTTGGATGACTGCGCTGCGGTCGTGGTAGAGTATGGAAAGGGCAGTTGTCACGGCATGAATACTGCTACAGGAAGATTACACGTTGATAATGATGTCGCCTACTTTAGCAAGATATGTTTGAAGTGTATGTATTTTTTTATTTTTTACTGTGTATAAGTGCGGAAAACTTATAGAAAATATTGATCTCTGTTTTCATTCAAAGACAGTGAGAAGGAAGATAGAGGAATATCTTTACCACTTAAGTTCAATTTCCATAAGCGCAGCTGCGATTGCTATTCAAAATATTAAGGCGCCGCGCCGCACTTGTTTTTCAACCCTATTTGATATATCCCGCCAGTATAGACTCCCAGTAAGATTATGCTTATTGTTTATTAAACAAAGTTCGCGTATTTACATATTAGACCGCGTACGAAATTGTTCAGCGAACTTATCGCGACCTAGTTACTTTTAGTTACGCAATACGTTGACAGCGCACCGCTAGCTGCTCATAAATTTTATCTAATATTTTCAACATACCCACAAACATTGTTTCAACTCGACTACAAGTTGTAATAAAATATTAAAAGTGTAATGAATGGATATAGATACATATTGTATAGAACTTTATCGCAGGAGAAATGCGTTAAGGTCTTTGATAGTGAAAATTTAAGATTTCTTATACCATATTGTTCATATTTTTACGATTAACACCATTATTACGAACAAATGAAGTAATATATAATGGAAAGCATAATCGCATATTGCGTGTGAACAAAGGTGGGAATTTTATTTTCAATTAACTTTCAATTTCTCATAGAAAATGTTTGCAGTGCCGCTGGATTGTGAGCGTCGATGGTGGGCGCTAGAGAGCACGCCTAGTTATTATCTACAATCCACTACTGCTGGGGAGACCAGGCTGAATGTCACAGAGCAGCAGTGCTACGAACTTTTACTTGCAGCAGACAAGGATAAATACCGGTATGTCAACAGTTAGAACAATCATCAGATCATTTCAAAGCGACTCCTTAAGAGTTCCGATGGTTTTAAAGAATAATTTCTTCAAAAGGATCCATTCTCAAGGTTAAACGTGTTAAGAAACTTCATAGACCGGTACAAGGTGAACGGTAATTTACTAAGAATTATCAAAAAAGTGTTTTGTTCCTTTTTTGATACAGATCAGCGCAATGGATAGTACCAGAAAGTAACTCTATTATGTTTGAAACGATGACGAGTAACTTGGGCAACTGTATTCTAATTGTCGAGAACAAATTTACTGAACCTGAATCGTACCGGGTTTCCAACTCTTACACATATTATATAGAAGATCAATGCGGACATGATTGTAAGTAAAATCGAATCTCACTTATTAAAACCTCATTTCTTCATCTTTCCTTTACAAATAACTAGCAGACTAGAGAAAAAAAAACGTAATTAGTAGTCTGTGTATTCTTCCAGACTCTAATCTACATCTATGCCAAATTTCAGCGATATCCATGCAGACGTGCTGGAGATACATTCTAACAAACATGTAAGATAGCTGGAGCTTATTCATCATCATCAGCTCACTATACGTCCCCACCGAGGGGCTCGGAGCCTACCCTAAGTTAGGGTGACTAGGCCATAGTCAACCACGCTGGCCAAGTGCGGGTTGGTTGACTTCACACATATCTTTGAATTTCTTCTCAGATATGTGCAGGTTGCATCACGATGTTTTCCACTAAATTAAATTTTTGCGAATTTGTCTTTCGTTCACCATGTATTTAAACATTGGGTTTTTTTATTTTCATGATAATATAAACTGACATAAGATATCGTTAAGTTGTATTCCAAATAATTACCTTAATTATATGTCTTGCATGTGAGTTGCCGGACGTAATCTGCTTTATGTCATTTTAATAACTTTAATACTTCACATAATAATTACGGCGACGTGTACAAAGACATTGCTTATCACGTTAGATATACCGCATGCGAAAAAAAAATAATTAAAAAAAGGAACTATATTTAAAAATTGCATAAAAACTTTTTGTATATTTATTCAATTCATTGATGGAATCATAAGTTAGAGTTTACATATTTTTAATGTAATATTATACTATCTTCGTAATACCGCGACTCCGTCCGCGTGAAATGAAAAAAACCTTAGTTCCCGGCAATTATCCGATTGTTTCTCACCTTTTAAACCTTCCCTAGACCTCCGCGAATATTTCAAGTCCAAGATAAGATAAATCCGTTCAGCGGTTCTCGAGTTTTAGCGAGACTAACGAACAGCAATTGATTTATATACATATAGATTGTTCTCTTTTTAAAGCAACTGTTTATGTTTAATAGTTGTTTAATGTAAATGTAATCGTGGGTGTCAAGTGGTTAGAATACAACTGTTTTGGCAGCGGAATATCACAAGAACTTTAATTCCAGATCCACAAAGAATAGACCGATGTTCGTATGAGGAATATTACAACCAGACACTGAAGCATGTTGATTTTACAATAAACAATATCACCAAAGATGAGGTAAGAGGTAATATCGATCTATTATTTTAGCTATCTATTAACTTTTGCATACAATAAATATCAAACAAACCCTTAAGTGCTATATTTGATTAGTAAACTCGCTTGATATGCAATTTACCGAGTCTTTATAATACATCTGGGCATATTATGAACGGGCTACTTTCATGATTCATCAGTTCATACAAACAGTGAGACAAAAATAATTAATTTTAGTGTAAAACTGCGTGTGAGTTGGAGGAGCGCTTCGTTTGTCGCGGCTTCACGTGGGGCATGCGGGAAGCGCGGGACGTGCGGGGTGTGCGGGGCGGGCGCGGCCTCTGCGACTTACATAGCGAGGACCTGGTGACAGCGGGCTCATGGCTGCTGCGCCGCAACACTGATGCCACATACTACCGACGCGTTATTTGCCTTAATAGTAAGCGTTCACGTATACAGTACTTTCTCCCACTTTCCTCTATCTCTATGCAACGATTAATTAATTATTTATGAGCAATATTTCATTTACCAGTAAGCGTGGAATGCCAAGACAGCAGTATGGTGGTGACGTATCGTCCGCGCGGTGTGTTCCGCGGGCGCATGTATGTGCCGGGACGCGGGGAGGCGTGCGGGGCGCGGGGCCAGGGCGCAGCGTCCGTGCGCCTCGCCTTGCCCCTGCGTGGAGACTGCGACGTCAACTATGCGTATGCCATCTCCAATGGACCCGGAGGAGTCGTCAATCGGTTAGTTCTGACTAGGATAACTTCGTATACTCTATATATAAAGTTACTTCAGGTTTGGATTGATACGCAGCTCACAATTCTATATATTGGATACTTAACTACAATAGCCTTTTTTCATAAAATGATTTGAAAACTTATACAATATTGCTTTGTGTATCATTCTGTGTGGTTTCCTTATTTAAACTATAACAATACAGCACCTTTTTGCAGTATGTTTTTATCCGTATTCTTTATAACTTTAGCAGGAACGATGTAGGATTAATTTATTGTCTGGTTGTTCTTAATTGATATGTTTCCTGTTTAGGACAATGGCGTACGTGATGGTGATGATCCAGAACAATCCAATCATCCAGACGGCGGGTGACCGCTGGGTGCGTGTCGGGTGCTCGCCGGGCGGCGCACACGCATACACTAACGTCGACGCCACTGTCTCTGTCAAGGATACGGGGTAAAGCATTCGCGTAATTTTTTTTTCATGTAATAAGGTGGCAAAGAAGCAAGCGCAATGAAAGACAGGTAAATTAAACATTTGCCAGTAACACTAACATCTGTTACACGAATGAGCCTCGTACGCTGCAATACCACGAGCATACAGAAGACACGCCTCAAGTGTGAGCAACTCCGCATACAGTCTGATAAGTGTGCGTGCCGCACAACCTACACGAAGTTCCCTTCCCAGCCTTTACTTTTAAGAAAAGAGTGGAAGGACGCGAGAGGGGACGCATAGGAACGGGAAATATCTTCTTTCTGCGCGTCCCCTCCGAAAATTAAAGGTAGGCAACGCATCAGCAATTGCGGATGTCTATGGGCAGCGGTCGCTTGTTCTTTTGCCACCTTATGATATAAATAAAAATAATAGTACAATTTGTTTCATGAAACTAATAATACGAACGTACTCAGAGATGTTTAAGCGACTGTTTTAAGTCAACTAAATCTAGACGATCTAGTTGACTTAACTAAACGCTTATATAAGCATGGTATGATTATAGGAAGCCATCTCAGGCGAGTGAGTCAGGTGCAAGCGCGGTGTACGCGAACACAGCACCTCTCAGTATGTACGTGGTGCGAGCGCAGGACACGGCGCCCGCGCCTGCCGTCGCCCTCGGGGAGTTGCTGGAGCTCCGTATTGAAACCACTGGTAAATGTGTACCTTAAGGACTATGTTTTACTGACCTATTTTCTAATTTTGAGAGGTCATGACGTCACAAAATGGCATAGTTTTATTGCAAGCAAACTGTGTATTTCTTTTCAAAATATCCATAGTAAAATTTCTAGTTGTAATCCATTATGTCGATGTTAAATTGTTTCATTTGTAATGAAAAAAGATTAACGCAGCATCGTGTAGACCTTGACATGATGCAAGTACATTTGAACAATAGCAACTCGTTTATATTACGAATGCTGAACGTTGAACAATTATTTTTGTTACGATGAAAGCCTATCATTTATGTGATGTACTTTTATTACTTTCATTTCTAATATATTTAATTTTAACAAAGATTAAGACGTAAAATGTATTTGAATTTGCAAAGCATACTTACGCAAATATAAAATTACTAGCTGTCGCCCGCAACTTCCAGACTATGTTCTACATCTATGCCAAATTTCATCAAGATCCATGCAGCGGAACAGCTGATACCTTCTAACAAATATTCATCCATCTATCATCGGCTTTAGGCCTCGTTTGGGTTTTAATACTTATAAATATGTAATTCATCAATAAGAAAATTGTTCATTCCCAGCGGAGACGGAAATCGAAGCATACCACCTGGTGGCATCGTCCCGGCTAGGCGACAGCTCTGTGCTGTTGCTGGATAGTAGGGGCTGCCCCACAGGACAGGTGAGATTCATTCATATTAAGATATTTATCAATGATTTATGATAACACCTTAGTATTATTATTACTTAAGACTTAACCTGGCTGGTTTTTCGAGAAAATATCTCTTGAAAAGAAAAGATTTAACTTTTTAATCTCCGAATTAAAAATTCTGAAACAAATAGTTGATTAGATTGCCTGTAGATTATAAAGATATTTATAATTAGACGATTGCAATGTTTAGGTGGACTTCCCAGCGTTCAGTCGGACGTGGCACGGAGGTACGCAGCGACTGACTGCGAACTTCAAGGCGTTCCGTTTCCCAAACTCGCACGTCGTGCGGTTCGCGCTCATGGTGCGCTTCTGTCAGCGCAAATGTAAACCGGTCTGTATTACACGGCATTATACATTATTATGGTGACTCGCAGCAGGCCTCGCCCTAACTTTACGTCTCCCAATACCTTGTGTGGTATACAGCATTTCATTGCACAATACTTTAGTTGAATTAGTGATGGGAATGAAAGCATGGGAGAAACCTAAAAACACAACATTTAAAAGATTTAAAACCTTCTAAAATCCCGCTAACTTGACTTCTATTTGGGCAATCCAGGTTATGTGCGGCTCCCAACAAATGAGGACATCGCGACAAACTGATCTAACAAAGAAGTGGAGCAACGAGACGGAAATGCCGGCGGCGGTGCGAGAGGCCGTGTGGTGGGAGAAGCCGCGGGCTGGCGTGGTGGCTCAGGGCGGAGCACCCGCCTGTGTAGGCGCGGCTCCCGGCAGAGTCCCGCTAGAATTGGAAATGGTGGTAGGATCGAGGGACATAATCTCAGCTGACACGCTGGTCAGAGCTGACCATCAGTCTGCACGTAAGTTTATGAATATTTAAATTAGTCTTTTTTTAATCTTGTTTTTACAATTCTAAAAATTTACGACTTTTACGAATTAATTTCGCATATACAACCAATTCGTATTATAACTTTTAGAGTCTGAGAATGAAAGCGAGAGGGCGCTGGTGTGCGTCCACGAGCTGCTGCTGGTGTCACTGGCGCTGGCCTGGCTCGCCGTGCAGATACTCCTACTCCTCGGCTGCTGCGTGCTCGTTAAGAGGTACTCGATATGTTTCTCCAAGTCCCGCAGGCACAAAGCTTCAGAGAAACGCTTTATACTTCTTGTATTCGATGCGACATCGCAGTGACCTGATGATAAAATTTAATCACCAGATACCGCAACCTGGCAGAGATGAGCATGCAGAAAGACTACCACTCGTTCGACAACCTCGGCTTCGAGTCGAGCAGCTCGCCGCGCCGCGTGCACTGGCCCGACCAGACCATAGACATACTGCACACCACTTAGACTTTATCTCCCATAGACCACACAATTTTTTTTCAACCGGCCGATTTAACTTAGAATGCGCTTTACCAATGTGTTTTTGTGTGAAAAGGTGATCACTGTTTCTCTACTCTATCCAGATAACACGTGAAATTGATCTAATTTTTGTAAAGCTTCATCGTTAAAAATAAATTAAAAACATTATAAATTACTAGCACTAGATTACCTTTGTTATAAGTTAAAAACGAACATTAAAATTTAGGTATTTATTATTATCAAAAAATAAAGAAAATTACGCTAAAATGTATTTTAATTATTCCATCCGGATGCTGGATGCTGTTGTGGCATTATCGTTGCTATTATTTTAAATTAAAAAAATGAATTGCGCGTATTTTTCATAACTTCATTCATTTATTTGATAAGAAGCTAAAACACAATACGGGCATTTCGCTATGCTTTACTAAGCCATAAATAATGAAATAGAGGGTAACATAAATAGTATTCTATCGACTATATGATTATACTGATTATTATAATGTAAAAACCCAGTTCTTGAGGTCACTAGATGTCTAAAAACATATGATATAGGACTTATGATTTTTCAATGGGTATGAAAAATGCGTTGGTAGTATTTTTTTTTAATTATGAATTTTTATATTTGACAATAATTACGATGACAAATAATTATTTTGTTAATGATTTAATGCATAATGTATAACGAAAGATAATTCACAAATTATTTGAACGTTGATTATTTTATTATAATAATAAAATTACTCGTTTCTTCTTTGTTATCTATCAAACGTATATTTCAATTTGATAGTTCAATCCGCTACCACGTTCGCTCTTCAGTCTAACATTAACGAATGAAAAGCCAATGCCTCCTGCTGTTACCGTGGCGAGTCCCTCCGTGTGGTCTAGATCTCTTGCAACGACCGCCTGAAAGTTATTTAAAAAGTAAATTTAAAAGTGTTGTCTATCTTTCTCTGTCTTTGTTTATGAGTGTGCGAGGGATAAAATTTATCAATCAGTGTCATAGCATCCAAAATCCATAATAAGATTCAAACTTAATGGTGGCTTGTAGTTAGCTGCGAGCGCATGTTTGCTCCGTTCCCAGATTTATTATTTTGCATTACATTTGTATAATGATTAAAAATTGCCTCATTATTGCGGTTTGTAAAATCTACTAATCTACAAAATTGACCCGATTTATCATTAAACCACTTTTTTGATGATCTTTTTTTAGCGTAGGCTAATTATTCTACACCACTACAAACAATTAACTGAGAGAATATACGTAAATCAAATTATCGACAATAGCGTCACATTTGACCCTATTTTATCATCTTCGAATGATTACAGTCAAGTTGTCATCATCCTATTTTGCCACGCATGATAAAAGTAATGGTCGAAAATGTAATATTTACCCTTATAACTTGCATGGCTGGATCAGAATAGAACACTTCTTTCACTCGTTTTCGAAATGGGATACCCATGTATTCCGCCTTTTGCTGCCATACTAATCGCGTATTTAGTGTGGTGCCTAACACAAGATCCCGACCATAACACGTAGATAAACATAGTAATATAACATAACTAAGAAGTATAATGCTTCTCATTTTAAATGATTCTAACAACAAATACCACGACTAAACTATACAGAGGAAAACGTTAAACTGAGAATATATTGTATAGGAACTGATTTATGATACGGAGTATTGGTATTAATTTTGTATGCTCTACGCTTTACATTTCAAAGTGTGACGCTATGTATATTATCATGTTGACAAAAGCTAATCTTCAATTATACTAAATGCAAACATGTCAAGTAAAGGCTTAACTATTACGCTGATGTTATTTGTATTCTAAAATGTTTTGTCTGACATTCACCGAACAAAGCCTTTTCTTCGTTCCTTTTACCGTCAAAGTTTCAGCTGAAGAATGTCGATAATATCAATGCATGCAAGCGTTGTTGGTTTCATTTAACTTGTTCTTTAGAACCTTTAATTTTGGTGAACACCCACAATTTATTCCGCTTCTCTATCGTTTAATCGTTGTTTCCCTATACAGGCATAGTAGGCATGTTCAGGCATAGTGAGCGCATTTAAGAGCATACGAGTCAAATTATTGAAGCTTGGCTCTCATTTGATCAGTCCATTTATTTCATCGAGTTTTGTATATATATTGAAGTATTGTCCTCTGGCCCCCTTCCTCTCCAATGATATTTTATGAATAGATATTTTAGCACCGTGTAACTAATACTCAATCAAAAAAGGCATAATAATTAAAATATTTACATTCAAGTCGCAATTTATTAAATTTTGTAGACTTTTTGAGGCAAAAATTAATTTTGACATGACAACACTTAATTTTATATACTGCATAAAAAAGTGACATTTGACAGCTGCCAAAACTGCCGGAATCGTAGAAACATGAGATATTTAAGATAAACTCATGTTAATAATTGATAAGTTATAATTTTTTTAAGATAACCTGCCTAAAACCCAACATGAATTCTATAATAAGAAGTAGATGTATTCCAGCATGTCGCACATTTACAACTTCAAATATAAGACGCACAACTGGGCCTACTCAGCCACCTAAGGCTAAACCAAAAAAGTTTTTTGGCCCTATTACATGGAAATCGATGGCAGTAACCGCCGTGGTTGGAGGTGGTTTAACTGCCTTCATGATGTACGTAAGAAGAGAAAAACAGCAAGCGATAGATCGTGAAAGAAAACGTCAGCTGGGTAAAGCGAAAATTGGAGGAGCTTTTGAGTTAACGGATCCCGAGGTAGGCTTTATTTATTAGTCTCTCAATCATTTTTAAAGTTCAATTTATTTAAAATGACTTTGTGGGTGACGTCCACTTATCACCATTGTATAACTGATAAATTTTCTTTCAGGGTAAATTGGTAAAAAGCACAGATTTGTTAGGCAAATGGCTACTGATATACTTTGGATTCACACACTGCCCTGACATATGTCCCGATGAATTGGAAAAGCTTGCTGAAGTTGTTAAATTACATGGTGAGATATTTTTTTATTTCTAACATTGTTTTTGTAAAAAAATTTGAATTTAAAGTGTGACAATGAGAAATCCGAAAATAAGTTGCTCGTCCTTTATTGACATTGTGTATGGTTGTTTTAACACAAAACATTTAATTGATATATGATTTTGTTTTTAGATAATAGTGAATCAGCACCTCCTCTGCAGCCAGTATTTATATCAGTTGATCCAAAACGAGACAGTCCTGAAATTGTTGGAAAGTAAGTTTCATCAGAATAGCTACGTGTTTTTTGTATATCTGCCATAAAATTAAAAAAATGAACTTTATTTCTAGGTATTGCAAGGAATTTTCTCCACGATTCTTGGGCCTAACTGGTACTGAGGAGCAAGTTCAGAAAGCTTGCAAGTCATACCGTGTGTACTTCAGTGCAGGACCACAAGATGTTGACAATGATTACATCGTAATATTCCATTTTATACTCATTTATTATTAGCAAATATAAGTTTACTAGTGGTTGCTCGCAAATCTGTCAGCGCAGAATTGAAAAAAAAACATAATTAGTAGCCTATGTGTTCTTCCAGACCAAATATATGCCAAATTTCATTGAAATCTGTTCAGCCATTCTGGAGATACCTTTAAACAAACATCCATGCATCCATCTTTTTTAGATTTTTTGTAAAGAAACAAAAAATCTAAACATTTGCATTTACAATATTAGTAAAACATTACGTTACAGTATTGGTGTTAATAGTTAAATGTTTCAAAAGAAAATATCCTTTAGTTTTTAGTCTATTTTGCAACAAAAGACAAATGTCGATTGGACTATATTCAAAAATTAATTTCAAATCTTTTTGTTATCTGTTTCAGGTGGATCACACAATAATAATTTATCTAGTGGACCCGGATGGAGAGTTTGTTGATTACTACGGTCAGAACCGAAATGCAAATGAAATCTACAACTCAATGCTTGTGAATATTAAGAAATATGAAGCATCAAAGAAGAAAGCTTGGTTTGCATAAATAGTTTGTTTGAGATTAGTTGTAGATGTGAATGTATGTTTTATGGAATAAATTATTTTAATGTTATGAAATCTGTTTAATTTGTTATTAATGGAGTAGGCAGAGATTGTGGAGCTAAACTGGTTTCCCATAAACTCATCATAAATTAACTATGGCCAATTATTTTTTACTACATTTTTTGACACTAATTCACGAACTGTGTGATAAAATTAAATCGCTTGGATAAATAAAAATAAATTTATTTTCACCTCTAACAATTGATATAATACATAATATAACACATGCAATGCTGACTGTAAATTAACTTCACAAAAATAGTGGCACAAAATGTGTTAAGAGTTGGTATTCTTGCTGGTAACTTTGCGAACAGTTAACTCTTTACCAGTACTGTGTATGAATTTGCGTGTTTGCTCTAATTGGTAAAGTTTTATTCCTCCATCCTCTAAAATAGCTGAAGAAATATTTGGTCCATTTGCTGTCATTTCTATATAATGTATTTTACTTTTTAAACTTTCACCGACGATCCTATCTCTTGTATTAGTTATTTTTTGACTAATTTGTGTGTTTTGCATTACTACCATTTTATCATCATTATCTTGTAGTACCACTTCTTGTGTTGCTAATGGCATATCGTCGGGACTAATAATTTTTGATTCAGTGTTTAAATCATTTTGTAAATTCTTATAAGTTTCTTGATTTTCATTAGATTCAGTTTTATCATCAGAAAATACTATTTTGTCAGGTAATACGTAGGGTTTTGGTATTTCCGGTTTTTGAACGATAACTTCTTTTTTAATTGCTTTCTTACCTTTTTCATGTATTTTAAAATGTCTCATCAGTTGTACTTTGCTAGCAAACTTTTGGTTACATATCGCGCATTCAAATGGCTTTTCACCTGGAAATATGAATGAATGTTACAAAAAAATATTTTTCTCATTTTTCTAAGTCGATATTTGAAATATTAGTTTTTAAAATTGCAATATACAACTTGTTTCTAAATGAAATACTGATGGGTGTGAGGTCTTTTCAAATATATTCGCTACAATTCTGTGAATTACAAAGTAACCTTGTAATCCCCTTACTCCTCCAAATATGGTAAACAAGGGGGGCGCCGTAGAAATATCGCCCAGGGCGCTAGTACCACTAAATTGTTGTTGGTAGGCAATGTTGCAATTACTAATATCTATGGGCTGCGATCGCTTCGTTATATGAGCGAATTTAGGCCGCCTGTTTGTTGATAAGTTCACTACAACCTGTGTGCATGCGGCTGTGCTCGCGCAGTGCCCACAGCCGCACGAAGCGCTTGCCGCACGCCGCGCACTCGTGCGGCCGCTCGCCGGTGTGCATCGCCATGTGCAGCCGCATGTTGCTGCGTGCAAACCTACATACATACATACATTTAACGTGTTCCTATACAAGAGAATAATTAGAGTTGACATCTGCTAAGGGATTATGAACCAAAATATGTATTGTTCAAAGAAAATTATGTACAGTCAGCTGCATAAATATGTATACATATATAAAGTTTCAGGAAGTAGTACACCTACGGTTTCAAATATCCTTCCGTATGGTCTTCACCATAAATACATGTTATTGACGTGTATATACGTGTTTTTAAACTGTCATACAAGTTTCTAAAGTTTTATAAATGTATACATGTTTATGCAGCTGACTGTACTGTGTTGAACTAGTTGTTCGTACGAACCTCTTGTTGCACACTTTGCACTGGTAGGGCTTATCTCCGGTATGAATGCTCATGTGGTTCTTCAAAGATGATCCGCAGCCGAACTTGCGCTCGCACACTTGACAAGTGTACGGCTTCTCCCCTGCCGAACCCAAACATATAGTTCCAGATTTACGAACAAAAAATAGTCATTTTCAAAATATACGTGTAGTTTTTTTGGTAATGTATTAAAAGATTCAAAGTTAATTGCGGCTCGTGGTTATGTAATTTGCCTATAAGTGTACCGGTGTGAACGCGCATGTGTCGCACGAGGTTGGATCGCTGTATAAAGGTGTTGCCACATCGCGCGCAAACGTGCGGCCGCTCTCCTGTGTGCGTGCGGTGGTGCGTATTGCGCGTCGACTCGTGACGGAAACTGGAAACATTTATTACATGTAATAAATAAAAAAAAATAGAATCCATAGCAGTATTTTGTTATAATCTGGCAAATGTTTTACGTTTTATCGCAGTAGTGGCACTTGTGAGGCTTGTGGTCGAGATGCACGAGGCTGTGCGAGGCGAGCAGACGCTCCGAGGCGAAGGTCTTGCCGCACGCTGCGCACGCGCACGGCCGCGCTCCGCTGTGCTGCGCCATGTGCGCACTCAGCAACGCGCGGTATCTAAACCTACACATATATACATACTACAATTTACAAACATACTTAATAAAAATAATTTATTTAAGTTAGATTAACTGTTTAATATGTGTTTCGACGCTTATTCCAATCATTTATTATAGTCAAGGTTAAATTAACTAAAATTGATGACCCGCAGCTCATTGTTCACATGTGTGAAGCAAATCAGTGTATCGGCTCCTAGCTTAGCTCAAGTTGTACCCGCATAGACTTATGATTTGCGTTTCGAGCTGCGAACTTCGAGCAAGCAGATAGCTCGCCGTTGAGTCGCAGCTCAACAATTATAGTCTACGTGCGTTGAACTTTTAAACTGGTTCAGAGCTGATATACTTCGTTATAGATTCATCCATTCATCGTCTAACATTCAAATTTCATTAATTCGTTCTTTGATAATTCCGTGTGATAAACTGACCGTTTGTCGCAGTGTTGGCAGGCGTATGGCTTGTGCAGCACTTCGCCTGTGTGCACACGCTCGTGCCTGCGCAGGGAGTACAGTTCGGAGAACATCTTGCCGCACGCCGCGCACGCGTGTCGCTTCACCTCCATGTGCCGCTCTATGTGACGTTTCAACTGTCTCCTGACTGCGGTTATATTAGTACTTAACACCTTCCATGCCACTAAGATGACACACAAACGCAAGCATTGAATGTGTTAAGAACATAGGTAACTATATTGTTGAACTTGTGTAATAACATGCCTACAAATTCTATTAAAACGATTTAATCGTGTTACATAAAAAAAAATCATAACGAAAACCCAATGTTTAAAATGTTTGACTGTCTTTCCGCAAACTCGCGTTTGTTTCGGAAAATCTCTGAAATGTCTGGACTGATTTTGTCAAAACTTTTTGGAAGGTGGTTGATGCACGTGGGCATATAGGCTATTTCGTTTTAATTCCGCGCTGATGAAATCGCCAGGTGACCTCTAATCTTTATATATATAATTCTTCTGTGAGTGTATATGTCACTGAACTTCTCTCAAACGACTGGACCGATTTTGATGAAATTTTTTGTGTATGTTCAAGGGGATCTGGGAATGGTTTAGATTCACAATTTTGTCCTCTGGACAATGTTGCCTGGAACTAATTATATTTCTTTTTAATTAAGCGCGGACGGAGTCGCGGGCTACAGCTATTTATGTATAAATGCTTAATATATCACATGTTGCAACATAACCGACGACATGAAATTCTTTTAATTTTTAAGTTATTTTCAAACTTAGATATAAAAGAAATATTTTCTTACAATTAAATTGTTTGTGACATTGAATACAAGTCAATGGATCACTTTTGGAATGTATAGGCAAATGTAGTTGCAAGTCATGTTCCGTAGAGAATGACTTCTTGCAGTGACGGCAGGAGTGAGACAGCGGCACCCAATGCTCACTCTTCACATGAGCTTTCAGTGTTTGCGCCTTAAGGAATTTCTGAAAGTAGCAATAACTTGTTACACTACACTTAGTACACAATTCCCATTATAAAAATCCCTTAAGTAAATAAAAAAATATTACTAATTTGAAGCGTCAATAGCCTAGTGGTTAAGGATACGGATTTCCGATCACAAGGTCGGGGGTTCGAATCCCGCCATTCGACTATTGTCGTAAACCATATCCTAGCACAAGCCTAGAGCTTAGTTGGAATGGTAAAAGAAATATTAGTAAATTTACAAAAAAAATCTGCTATTTTTATTAAAAAAAAAATTATAAATGCGAATATTCAGATGGATTGATGTTTGTTAGAAGGTATCTCCAGAACGGCTGCACAGATCTAGCTAAAATGTCGCATAGATGTAGAACACAGTTTGGAAGAACACATAGACTACTAATTATTTATTTTTAATCCATGTGGACGTAAATAAAAACATGTAGATCATATTTTTTTCCATTGAATCTGAAATTTCTTATGTACTTACCTTAGGACACATTGTACAGTTATACTTTTGTTTTGATCCAACTATTTTTCGACGTCTAGAATCTGAAGATAAAATATTTATTATAATAAATAATAATTTATATTACATATCCACTACAATTTGTATAATATCATACCTGAATTTGCTTTTAGTTTATTCCTAAGAAAAAAAAGTTTTTGTATTAAAATGTATATTAAAAGAACATTTATTGTAAGTTTTGTCAAATGAAAACCAATTACAATTTTATTTCTTATTTACCATAGACTTCTGAGTCCAACTCATTAAAAAAAAATATAAAGGTAAATTTTGGTCTCTGAAACCTATGGTAAATAGATTAACTCACTTCACAGTTTCCGTTTCCCTTGTTATAGTTATGCTGATTTCCTCTTCATTGTTATCAAATATATCAATATCCAGAGTTTCGTCCAAATATTGCACATCTTAAATTAATAACAAATATGCTGTCATTTTATTATAATTATTTTTAATATTACTATGTAAAAACCAAAACAAGCAAAAAATTAAAAGATCAACTATGGGTTTCTGAGACCAAAATCTCTGTATTAAAAATATGTTCATCCCTCTCATTATCTTTGACAAACCAGAGATAACAGTAAATTTTAACGGGGATGTTAGTCTTAGAAACTCAAAATTAGGCATATGAAAACTATTGTTTCTAGAATTGATCTATAAAATATTATGTAATAATTTGGTATATAATTATTTACATACCTTCATGCTCAATTATTTCTTCTTTCATTTCATTGCCTTCATTTTCAATTTTTATAGCAGTTGTTACACTGAAAACAATTGTGATAAAATAAAATTAAAATAAGCCAATTAACCCACCACAAAATGAAGTGACATACAAATGAACAAGAGATTTCCAAGGAACCGAACTTTATTAGGTAACATGAGAAAATTTTGAAAATATTTTAGAATTGATTTTTTTTGATTATATAAAAATATTAGTAGATTTTTTTGTAAATTTACAAATATTTATTTTACCATTCCAAATAAGCTCTATGGTTGTGCTAGGATATGGTTTACGACAATAGTCGAATGGCAGGATTCGAACGCCCGACCTCGTGATCAGAAATCCGTACCCTTAATCATTAGGCTATTGATGCTTGATTAAAAGAAAAAAAAAAGTCTTTAGGATTTAAAAAATTAATTGTATTGTGTATTTTAACATAATTTACTAGCTTTTGCCCATGACTTGGACCATGCAAAAGTAAAATAAAACTTTTTTGTAAATGAAAAAACCTTTCTAAGCAGGATTAAATGGCCTTGTATTCTGACAGATAAAACTTATTGTTATGTTGTAATTACCTTAAGCTATCATCTTCAATTAATTTAACATCACTAATTAAAGTCTTAAAAATGAAATCAGATTTCAGACATTTGTTTTTAAAATTATAGAAACATTTGAGATCATTTTTACACATTTCACAGATCTTAAATGCATGATGATGTTCTGTATCCACCTGAAAAAATAATTAATATTACGAGAAGTTACTTCACTTGCACAGAAGCAAGTACATTTTATTTGTTTATAATATTAATTGTTATTTACTTTTGTCTTACAATTAATCACTATAAAATTATATATTCACATACCTTTATTGATGTTACAGCAAAATACATATCAGGTAAATGTTTGTAAGTTTCAGATAATGATGAAAATAAAGTTTCCCTTGTTAATAAACATATACGACACAGATGTTGAACGTTAATTTCAGACCAATTATTTTTTTCATCCATTTCATCCTCATACATATTATCTGTTAAGTTGGGTTCATCTTGTTTTATTTCATCTAATTCTTTAATATCGTTTTTTATAATACTATGTTGGTGTTTATTGATTGGCTTCATTTTCCAAACGCATATTCATTTAAACAACACCAAATAAGCTTAATACTTTTGTTTTAAAGTTTTATTTACACACTTCCATCATAACTTTGTATTAGAATATCACATTTATTTTTCCTTGTTTCGAACCGCTTTCTTTGTATTTCCATCCGTTATAATGAAGAAAATATACTGCTATTATCAAATAATACATTAACTTCTCGAATCTTTGCTAAAATAATACTGAAACCCTTTGAAAATCTGAAATTCCTTATTCATTTGAAAACTATTTGACAGTTGTCGAAAGTTGTCAACCTTATCCAACCTATCGTCACGGTAGTCGGCAAAGAGCAAACGGCGCTTGATTTTAACATTTTAATTGATTTTAATAGTATTCTGTTCTCAGTGATTATTTTATCATGGTAAATAAGGGCCATAAAGCAAGCATTATTAGCATACCTTAAAGATAAATGGCTTTCCCTAAGGAAAAGATTCCATGTGAGTCATTTCATGAAATAACATTCTTTGTTGATGCATAATGGAATAATATAGGTGCCTTGTTCCTATGGTTGATATTATTAGACTGATTTAACGAGGGGCTAAATCGTTCTATCATGTACCAATTTTGTTTAAATCAAGGATAATCCGCCTGTACCCCTAAAGATCTTATTATCATTCACAAGGTTAAAACTTAAAACGCAAATAGAAAACAAATTCATAAATCTATATTATTATTGTATTGACATGACTGATTGATAACCGTTTACCATCTTATAATAATATTTACAGTACATAATTAGAGTCATTAATAATTTTCTCGAGGTAATTAATCTCATTCTTCTAGGCATTCATACATCAAATGAAAATAAAACAAGTATTAGTGAGACGATTATTACTATCGAAAGACAGTAGTATACATCTTGCGTCCACATATAAAAGAAAACACTCGCTTTTCATTCCGTTACTTTTGATTTTTTTTATCAGTTGCTGTGAATGGAAATAACTCTTACTGTAATAGACTACATATGTGTACAGCTGATTTGACTTGATTTGTACAACACCTCGCTACCTGGCCTACAGTACAACGACAAAGAAACAGACGAGATATTGTCGATGACTTTACGGAAATGCATATCGTAAATATTCGTGATAGATCCCCTGTTAATTCAATGTTATACTATTCATTTACCTACCTAAAATTATGACGTGACTTATAAATGTTTGCAAAGTAAAATTCATATAAAATATTTTCTTCAATATAGATGTCAGTGACCAAAAGCGCAAAGCGAAACTTGTGTCCACGTAGTATCACTGTGAAAAACAATTTCATCACAATCTTGGATAGTAAAGGTGAGAGGTTAACATTAACTATCTGGCGGTAAGTTCACTAAAGATAACGCAGCGTATACTTCTGAACGTATATTTAATCTTAGAGGAAAAAAAAATTAAGGGCGTATTTTCACTGACCAAAGACCTCATTAATTTTTTTTGCTTCTGTTTCTTCAAAGATAATGAAGGAGATGAATATGTTTTTAATAGTACTTCAGCAGAAAAGACCTACATGAACATCTTTCACAGGTTCACTTTCACAGAACTAAGACGTTACCACACGCAGTATGTCTTCGGATGAAAAGTAAGGACAAATAAGTCATCAATCGGTGAGCCGCAGACAAGCAGCAGAAATAGAAAAAAAACCGCAATATAATTCGTAAATTGCAGATGGCTCGTCCCTGCATCCCTTGACATTCTACATAACCTAAAATTGTATCGTGCGAAATTGTGAGCCGCCATAGAGTTTGGATGGCACTGTACTTGAGTACTTACCCGATTTTCTTGTGCGGGTATATACTTAAAATGTTCGTATTATAAAAAATAATTAATCAGTCATTGTTACTTAATAAAGTTTATCATATTGTGATTAAAAGCGAAATTAAGTAAACAATTTAAGTTATATGGAATTTTTTAAATGATAAGGAGTTTCCCAGTATCAAGCCAAGTACATACAATTCAGTAATAGATATAAGAATAGAATAATAAGAGTTGGAGGCTAGGATGTTTCTCGTTGGGTCGATCGGCCATAGAATCAATCGGACTAATGGAATTTTTTTCAATCGGTTTCTTCAATTGGATTGGCTTATTGAATCCATTAAATTGAAAAAAAAATCCCATTGGGCGATTGATCGGTAGTACAATATAGTTGTTTAGAGATGAAGAAGTTCTCTGTTTCCTTTACGGTATTTGCTTAATATTGTTCTATCTCCCCCGCTAACCTAATCCAACGGATTACAACACCACGGCTCTTTAACTATAGAACTGTCCACGACTAAATCAACAGGTTTAATCAATCTGCATTACATAATTTACATGAAGATACAGAGAGGCGTATTAAAATATAAATATTTATTTACATTTTAATTATTTAATTAAGTAAAATGAAAGTTGTAATGAACTTTCACCTTCGTGAGAAAGATAATCACAAACTGTATTGTGATAATAGTCCCAACAGTAATGGAAACCATGAATCTGTTTTAACAAGGTAATGCAATCGAACAAAAGTTTCACTAAATAACAATAAATCTTATAGCCAAGTCAGTTAAAACAATTAAATGCAGTGTGAATTAACAATTAAAAGTATAGCAAAACATGCATGAAGCAGCGAGAAATGGGAGTTGAAACGAGACGCATAATGCCCCCTTGAGATAAGGGTGACCCCAAAGTGATATGTGCGTGGAAGAGTCTCGAGTGGGATGAAGTGCGGGAGACGCACGGTGACCGTTGTCTGAGCAGACCGTTAGCACTCAGCTCTTAGCACCGCAAGCCGCTGCGACCGCCTCAGGAGCCCGACTCGGCCAGTCCGCGGCAACATGTTCATTGGCATCACTTCCAGTGGTGGCAACGTAAATTCACACTACGATTATTTGATTTGAACAATACAGAGGTAAGGATTCTTTGCAATTTCGTCTTATCGCAGGTCAACTGTGCTAACTATCGGAATGTTATTAAAATAATAACACTACGCTGATAGTTAAACAGTCCAAACCGTTACTGTCGTCGCGCTGAATGCTGCGGGCATGACGTCCGTGCGTGTTGTAATCCTATATGCCATACTTGACAAAGTTCGTGTTAAATTATAACCAATAAACAGAAAAAATTGCTTTTCGTACCAGTGAAGAATACTTAACAAAATTATTTGTATTGCAGATCGCACTCGACTGCACAAGGGTTCTATAATAATGGCTCTGGATTTTGTAGCTGGATGTATCGGAGGTACGTGTAGCTCCTGCCAGATTGAATGCAATACCAAATCAAAAATAATTTTAATTATGCGACGGTCTGTCCTTTTCAGGAAGTGTCGGCATTATAGCCGGTCACCCGTTGGACACTCTGAAAGTACACATTCAATCGGGCCGAGGAAGTGCGTTGGAGTGTACGAAAGCTCTTCTGAAAGGAGGGACGTTGTCGACCGTGTATCGCGGCGTGTGGGCGCCATTGGGAGGAATAGCAGCAGTAAACGCGATAGTATTTGGGGCATATGGTAACACGAGGAGAGCGTTGCCCAACCCCGATTCGCTGAAAACGCACGCTGCGGCTGGTGCCTCGGCAGGTCTGATGCAAAGCATCATTTGTGCGCCTGTGGAACTAGTAAAGACCCGTCAGCAACTAGCTACACCGGGCGAAGGCATGCCCAAGGGGGCGTGGGCGGGCGCTCGACATATACTTCGAATCGGAGGTTTCAAAGCGCTTTTCCGCGGTCTGAGTATAACAGCAGCTCGAGACAGTCCCGCATTTGCTATTTATTTTACATCTTACGAGGTGATGACTAGAGGAAACCAATCCGCTTTGAGAGTTTTTACAGCGGGGGGCGTTGCCGGCGCCCTCTCGTGGGTTTTACTGTATCCGATCGACGTTGTGAAATC